GGCCCACGTTAGAGCCGCTCCATGTCAGCCTGGTCCACGTTAGAACCGGTCCGTGTCAGCCTGGCCCACTGCAGAGCCGCTCCATGTCAGCCTGGCCCACTGCAGAGCGGCTCCGTGTCAGCCTGGTCCACGTTAGAGCCGCTCCATGTCAGCCTGGCCCACTGCAGAGCCGCTCCATGTCAGCCTGGCCCACTGCAGAGCGGCTCCGTGTCAGCCTGGCCCACGTTAGAGCCGCTCCATGTCAGCCTGGCCCACTGCAGAGCCGCTCCGGCCCGGGCGGGTCACGGTGCCCGGTGCCGCCGGGCGGGCAGCGCCACGCGGGGGCGCCGGGGCTCGCTCCGAGGGACGGGAACCCAGCGAGCTCAGCCCCGCAGAGGCGCTCCCGGGCATTCCCGGGAAAATGGAAAGCGCAGACTTTCTGTAGGTGGCCTTGAGAACGACCTTCAGTGGTAGCGTATAAAACTGTAAAAATCCTTGATATAAACACAGGGGAAGGGAACTGGGTTAGCTTTACAGGGCTGCCTGGCACTGGTCTCCAACGCCGGAGCCGTTCAAAGCCCAAAAAGCAGATTCTGGGCTGGTTCTGACGGCACGGATGATAATGAGCAGCTGCTTTGAGGTTTCAAAGTCCATGGGAATAAATACAGTGTGTTTCAGAAGTCAGCATTTTTAAATGCATTCAAAACATTTCAAAAACAGATTCCAGGGGAGAAAAGGGACAGTCCAATAACATTTTGAGATGGCTGAGCTAAAGTTGGATAAACTCATGACCAGACAATCAGAACCCATCAGCAGCGTTTCTCTCTCCCAGGAGGCCGTGGCACCCCCTCCCCTGGGACTGTCCCTGCTCCAGCAGCAGCCGGCTGTGTTCCTCTTCCCCGAGGACAAACACAGCAGTGGAAAAGGAGCAGAGCTGCCTGAAAAGTGGGTCAAGCGTGGAATGAAACACCCACCATAGGATACTCCCAGGCAGGGCTTCTCCAGCCGTGTGCTTATCCCCCCCCACCCCCCCATTTTCCTTATGAAATAAAGAAGCAGAATAGAGCAGCCATCACTGCCAATTCCTGCACTGATGCCACTATAAAGGTTTTTCACAGCAAGGTTTAGGGTTAGGCTGGTTGTACGGGGATATTTTCTCAAACTCCTGAAAAATAAAGGCATTTGGGAGCCAGGCTAAAGCCTTTCAGCCCAATTGATCATGCAATTATCAATGTAAACAGGACACTCCTCTTTTACAGTTCAGCACTTTCAGTTTTAAATGCATAAACTGGAAAACAGCTTATAGATTTATTGAAATTAAAAACCAAACTAACTAAAGCAACAAAAACAGACCATAAGCACCTAACCTCAAAAATCCCAGATGTATTTGGGGGAAATCTACTGAGGAAGATGTATACAGAAGTCAAGACAATCAAAAGCAAAGACTTATATCATTGCACAAGGTTGTATAAATTAAACTGAGTAGATGCAAAATGGAGTGTTCTCCTCAAAATCACTTTCCTGCCAAGTTCTCATGTAGGATGCTCACCCTGATCATGCTGCTCCTCCTCCAATTAGCAGTCCCAAGTACTACTAGCAACTAATGTTTTATACATTATTTATACCAGTAGCAATCATTTTAGTCTCCATCTCAAAGTTCTGTTCACCAGAGAGTAATTAAGAGATCAGCAGTTCAACTCATCTTAAAGACTGAAGCTTTTAAGCTCCAGCACAGGTTTTAAAAGGCTAAAACTTGCAGCACTGCTTAATTTAAAACCAAAAGTGTTGTTTCAGCCTTTTTCCCCTGTCCGTATGCCAAAGCACTCTGGTCCCTTGCTTGAGAAAGCAGCCTGCCTTTATTCCCATCCAAAAGGAGTACAGCCAAATGAATTAGAGCACCAAAATAACTTTTTGTAAAACCACAGAAGGCTGACTCATGAACTGCTGACTCTGCAGAGCTTTGTTGGTGTGTTCATGGGTACTGAAGGATTTCTACACAGTCCAGTGTGATTTTTACTAAACCCTTTACCTGTTTCCAACCTTCTCCCAGAAGAACTTGCAGAAAACCAATACTCTGTGTCATGATGCCATAGAACACAGAAGGCACCCAATGCCTTCTACAAGGCTTCAAAAATCACTGCTTGCAGACATTTCACTCCAAAAATTCAAGCTCATACAAACCATGAGTATTACTGCAAAAAATGGAACATGTAAAAAGCCATTTCTCAGGCAAAATTTGCTCTAACCTACATGGCAACCCTTAAATTAAGAGTTTCCAGGAGTGCTCTGCATCCAGACAAAACAAGCAGCAATTAAAGCAATAAATGAGTGTGGAACAGGTGCATAAGGAGGTGATCAGAGTGGAGGCACATCTTCAACTCACTGAATTTGGAGCAGCATTTAATTTGAAATTCAAAACCATGATCACACTCGCATCTTACAACCATTTTTCTTGAATGAGTACCTATTCTTCAGCCCCCTCTCAAGGTCACAGCTCCTCCAAGAGCAGGAACTGCACTCCAGTATTGCTAAGGAAAAGAATGTGTTTATTGAACTATGAAAAAAGGCCCAAAATAACCCAGCACTATCATAGCAGTTTGGTTTTGTCTTGTACAGGAGGAAATCCTTTAAGAGTCAGGATAAATTTTTAAATTGTCAGAGCAGAGACTTGTCCCAAGGTCCTTGAAACACAACTGTTTTCTAAAAAGGACTCGGTGCTTCAGTTTACTACTATAAAAATCAAAATAAATCCCATGGAACATGGATTGGTCGGTATTGGCACCTCTCGGCAGATTTGTGTCACTAGAGGAGCTTTGGACAGGAACTGGTCCAAGACAGAGGCAGGTGAAATGTCACAGCTTCCATTGGCAGGATGTCCCCTCAGCACCTTTTCCACAGAGCAGAATTTGTTCTGTTACAGACACCTGGGGAAGGAGGTAATGCTCTCTGCACTCCCCCACACATCCAGGATCCTGCCAGGGTATGATCAGACCTAAACCAGGTAACATTGCCCAAGCACTTGGGACAGGGATACCGAGTGTGTACAGCAGCATCAGCAGCCAAAACAATCCAAAATGAGCCCCAGGTGAGAGTCACACACGTTGGTTACCTTGGACAAAAACCCACCTGCAGCAGCAGCTTGGGCAGCAACAGAGCAGGGACTGGGGCAGCAGCCAGCCCCAAACTCCAGGGATCTGCGAATGGGGGGCCATAAGTAGAAGAACAAGGGTGGAAATAGGCAGAAGGTGTAGAAAGAGGGTGAAAGAGGGAAAATCTGGCAAATCGATACACCTCTGTATGTATAGAACACATATTTTGTCTGGTTTTGATTTAATAGGCCCTTAGTTCAGCACAGGCCGGCAGCAGTTTAGGGTGCTCACTTTGCTATGACATGGCCAGTGACTTCTGCAAAATGGAATTGGGAAGTTCAAAACCCTCCTCCTTTGTCCATCAATATTCTCCTGGCTCTATTCAAGTTTTGAGAAAGAAGTAAAAAGAGAAAGAACAGCTCATAGAAAAGTATAATTTCATTCCCAACTGCCTTCTGATAACCTAAACCCCAATGTCAGCCCTCCCCACTAAGGACTGCATGTGACATTTCCCCTTCACCACTGAACCACCACAATACAGGAGTTCCAGCTGTGCCTCTAGTTTGTATTGCATGGCAGGCAGTGTGGGGATGGGAGGAATTACCAGTGAGCGCCAAAACCTGCTCATTTCTCTGCAGCCACCATGGTCACAGGCTGAAGTAAAGGAAGTTTTGTGCAGTTTTGTACCCATCAGCTACCACTAAATCAAACCCCAATTGTCTGTATCTTTGTTTCTTCCCTTGCATCTTCCAAACATGAGTGCAGCTGGTCAGTGCTCCATCACAGCAACGTATGTTTTCTTCACAATGTGGTTTTTGCACTGGAATCTTCACACAGACCATCACAACATAATTATAGAGGAAAGCACAAAAACTGGAGTGACTCCAACATTGTCCATGGACTTTACTAACCACTTGGATTTGTGTACAGAAACTGAAGCAAGGAAAGGACTGCTCCCTGCCAGAGCAGATGAGTCACACCAATTAAAGCAACAAGGAAAGCAGAAAATAGGGCAAAGTCATTCCTTTTGAAGGAATGGTGTCAATGAAAGCACAAAGTTTCATCTACACAAACACAGAGAAAGACAAGCGACAGGAATGGAACGTGAACTACTCTCAGCAAAGGATTTTTTAATAGTGATCAAAGCAAAAAGCTCCCAATATACTAAAAAAAGCCACTTCAGATGCACTTATTTTTAGCATGCACTTCTTCCTGTAAGAGATCAAACTACAGCACTGAGGTCTCCAGGAGCCACTTGGAACCCAACCCACAGGACAAGGCTCAAATTTTGCTGAAGGAAAAGCAATGACTTGAGCCTTTCTGGAAGGGAATGAAGTAATGCTTGATGAAATGCAGCATCTCCTTTGCAAGTTAAAGAATTAAGTGGTCCTCCAGCTTTTCAGAAAATCATGTCTAGGACTAGACCTCCAGGTGAGTTGGACATTTGCAAAACTTCTGTGTGTTCCCTTAGAAACAAGCAGTTTAAAAAACAAGCCTCCATGTTATTACAGAATCTACATTGTGCCCAAGAAACTTAAAGTCTCAAACAACATGAATATTAAGAGACCTTATACTAAGTCAACAGCCAGGTACATCATTTACATGTACCCAAGAAGTTTCACACAAAAGCCTTAAGAAGGCATAACATTTGAATTTCTGCTTTGAACCAAATCATCAAATTTGGGTTCAAACTTTGAGGAAGTTAGTAGAAAGGAAATATTTAAACAGAAGTTAACATAAACCACATACCACTGTTTTTCAGAATGGAAGCCTGGGCAAATACACGTAGCACTAAACTTCAAGTTGTTTCCTTTAATATTTACAAAACTGGTTTTATTCTTAGTTTTTCAGAAAAATGGTTTTAAAGTATTAGCACCTACATTGTAAATTACTCAAACTTAGATTTACACTTGAAATAAAGCCACAACGCAATCAGTTAAGTGAACTTATATTCTTCCATTTCTGAGTATTTCAGTAGAGCACCAAGAGGGAAAGAGCAACATGTGAGTAACCAGCAAGTGAGACACAGACCCAGGCACCTTCCTGGGACAGGATTCAGAAGGTCAGAGTTTTCCAGCACACTCCAAATCACCTCAGTTTTAGTTATTTATAAGGTGGAAATTTGTATGCAAGTTTATAAAACCCATCCAGCTACATGTTAGTTTATTAAACCACAGTTGACCTGAGATGCAATTAGAATTTTGACATTTTTCCATACTTAGTTCACAAGTTTATTATGAAAAACACTGCAGCTCTGTCCTGCAGTAACATTGTTTTACAGAAAAAAACAGTTCTGTTCAAAGTAATTCACTATCCTTGGACAATTACAAGGGACAATATGGTAGGGCAGAGTGGAAAAGGGAACTGAGTGCAGACAAAAAAAAAAAAAAAAAAAAAAAAATCAATACAATTAAATTAAACAGTATTCCCTGAAAATAAAACAAACAAACAGTTTCAGAACAAATATGAGGCCTTGGTACTTATTTTAAAAATGTTCTTTAAGCTTCAATGATTGTTTGCTGCTACCCTTATCTACAGTCATGCTGAATAAAGCTATAGCTAAATGGAAAGTTAAATGTATTCACGAGGTGTTAATGTCTACATCTTATTATTTGCAGTCTCTCAGAGAAAGCAAAAGTAACTACAAATAGCGCTATGCCAGAAACTGGTTTCTTGACCAACAATGTTGCTTCAGCATGCAATGAACTGGTTCATTCTAAAGTGGTCACAGTTGTTGATGACAAGAGGCTTTGTATTGAATATGGCACGTCTTTTGGTCCATGTGAAAACAAAGTTTGAATGTTAAATATTTTCTGACACTTTGGAGTTACTGTTGCTCTTCCCATTTCCTTTAGGTCAACATATGGTTCATGGCAATACTGTACAGGTCTAAAATCTCTTTACAGGAAGTAGTCTGGGGTGCGACGAGTAACATGCGGTTCACCTCTGCGCGGCGCCGGGTCAAACTGCAAACTGAGAGCACAGACACAGTGAGAGCTCAGCCTCCACTCAGGCACTCTAGCCAGGAGTTACAGCACTGGTTTAACACAAGTGACTCTGCAAGTTTCATCAACCAAGTTAAGTTTTCCAGAACTAGTGTTCTAGCTCTTCCACTCTGGTTAGTACGTACTTTTAACCATCGCATTTTAAATTCCTCTTACCATGAAATTAATTTTAGCTTTAAGACTCAAGGTGGTTGAACATTTGTATCTATCAGAAAGTTGAAGTCTCCAGTTATTATCAAAGAGGGCAGTATGCACGGTGCTTTTGCCTCATTTACTAGTGAAGTTGCTGCTGCAGTAGTTAATTAGAAATCTCATTTAAAGACTGACACCCAACACCTGAAGAATTCAAAGGTGCCAAAAGTCTCCTGCCCAAGACTGACAGGAAGGCATTACCTTAGATGTCACAGACTACTCCTGCTCTCAAATCACATCCCTACACAGCAAGTCATTAAAATCCAGGTAGTTATACAAAACAAAATTGAGGAGTCCCACTTTAATCTGACAGAGAAGATCTCAACAGCAACTGTTCCAGAGGCTTGACTCCAAGACTTTAAATGTGACTAACCCAACAATTCCACACTCACTCCACCTCCCAAAAGCTTAGAGAGGGGAAAAAACCCCATACTTGAACATAATTAAATGGGATCCTCAAATCACAGGCCAACATAATTCTCATTTTTAAATATACTTACAAGGAGTATTTTAGAGTGTCATCAAGTTCCATAATTGCAGCCTGGTTGCCACAACGGTAACAATAGTTTGGAGCACTGAAAATTGTTACTACATTCCGATCATGGCACCAGTTGTACCCCTGGAGAGGAAGGAAAAAAATAATTCAGACAACCAAGTTAATGTACCCCATGTAACCACCTGACTACACACCAACCTTTTAATGTGCACAGCCCTCAGTGGCATTTGTAGGGTTACTTTAAATAAGCTTAAGGCTGTATCTTTTTTCTCTTTTAGAGAAAAAGGGTAAAAAGGAATTTTGGCCTTCATAGGTTGCTTCCTCCTAGCGAATATGAGCTAGATATTAAAAAAAAAACAAACACCTAGCAATATTTCTCCATTGGATTAGCATTAAATAGTTAAAATGCCAATACTAAAGTACACAATCCATTCTGAACCTTCAACTGTCATCACCAAAACCAGAGCCCAGACATATCTTTAAAAATCTGAACTGCTAGGAACAACTAGAGACCAAGAACAAAAGCACACATCCAATCTAAAAAGAAAAATTACACCTTTTTTCCAAGAGACATATATTTAAAAACCTTTTTATCTACACAGAAATCACACCTAGTACAAAGCTTGGTTTGAGATATTGCTGTAAATTTTCAGGAAAACAAGGCCAAAAAAAGGTTACTCCACTGTCAAATTCCTTTAGTAGCACGTGAATACTGCCAAGGTCAAGTTTCTGGAATATTCCTAACTGGATCATCACCTGTCACAGAAGCATATGCACATCTCTGACACACAGAGCATGGAATAAATGGACCAAGGACACAGCCCAAAGTCTGAACACACAGGATGTCCTGCTCACCTCCATTACCAACTGATGAGCTCTTGAAACCAACGTAAGGCCATTAGCATGGTTAAAGGTTTCTGAAATATCCTGTCCAAATGTGTAACCTGCACCTCGAGGAGAAATCCCCCAGCCACCGCGATCATCTGGATCTGACCATAGCAAGTCACACATTGGACCCTGCAAGAGATGTAGATGATGTTTCAGAGGGGAAGTGCAAAGAACCAAAAGCAAACAAACCCCAAAAATGCTTGCACTTGCACCACCCCTGCACAACTCTTTGACACTTAATATGTTTATTTCTTTAAGCAAGGACATGCCCCTCATTTTTCCTTTAAAAAATCTGGAACAGATATTTTCTAGAACAGAAGACAACAGGCCCTTTAATATTGCTAAGTTGATTTGAATTTCATTTTCAGCCTGCAAGCTTAACCCTCCAATACATGCTGAATCATCAATCTCACTGGCTTAGACAATTATTTTCCAGTACCTCATGGGGAACTTCCTGCAAACGATCAAGTGCTCTGATGTGATCCAGTGTATCTATAGATGGAGAGAGGCCACCATGTAGACAAAAAATCTGCAAGAGTTAGGAAACACTAAGTTTATTTGCATTAATCAGTGCAGTTAGAAGAGTTTTCAATAATTTATTATGAGAAAATCTGCATGAGATTCCCTTAAAGATGAGAACTGACAGAATGCAACGTTAAGAACTCCCTTTACTATCAAAAACATTCAATTTGGTCAGATGTCAACATACCTGGCCATCCACCAAGGCAGTTAGAGGCAGGTAATCAAAAAGGTCTGTGAAGTATTTCCAAACATTTGCATTTCCATATTTCCTTAAACATTCATCATAGAAGCCATAAACTTGTGTGATTTGCCTGCTTTCATGGTTCCCTCGAAGAATTGTGATGCGTTCACGGTAACGGACCTAAAGAGAAGAGCTGATTTTAGCACACCTATGAGCAATCTTCCCCAGAACAGAATCTGCACTCCTCAATCCCTGCCACACACCAATAAACCATTCTGAAGATTATATAATAACCTTTAAGGGAAAAAAGGACTCATTCATTCCAATCTTCAACTGCCAATTACTTTTGAGATTAATTACAATTTGTATTTATTATTACTAAGGAACTTTGCTATACCTGTGCATTAAGCTGATCTCTCCAAGCAAATTCTTAAAGATTGCTACTTAGGCAAGTAAAAATAAACACTCATTTTAGATAAAGCTCAGGCTTGCACCTGAACATTTTTATAATTTTAAGAAGTGACTTAGAAAACAACAAAAGCCAAGAAGTCAGTTCCAGTAACTAATACAAATGCAGTGAAAAACATAACAGATATTAAGTGTAGTCAGGACAGTAATGATATATTTTATACAAGACTGTAAAGCTGAGAAAAGTTACCTTAAGAGCTACAAGCAATGTGACTGTTTCGACTGAATAATATCCTCTGTCAACATAGTCCCCCATAAACAAATAGTTTGTGTCTGGTGATTTGCCTCCAATTCTGAAAAGTTCCATGAGGTCGTGAAATTGTCCATGGACATCTCCACAGACTGTGACTGGACATCGCACTTCTTGTACGTTGGATTCTTTTGTCAAAATTTCTTTAGCCTGTAAAGCAAAAAAGCACATAAACTGTGAGTTTGTCTATGAAGAGCTTTTTATTCAAAGCACACTCTACCACTTCCAACTCTGCTATCTGCGCTCTTCAGCAGCTTTTGTCCCTTCCTTCTCTGAAGTACTTGAGGGAGAATTTTATCTTTACTTTAATGCCATTAAAACAGCATTTCACTTTATGAAACCTTGTATTAGTAATTAGCAGTTGCATGGCTGCTTTTCCTCCTTGAGGACAGTATCTGAAGCAAAACTTCAGACTTTCTACAGAAATGGTTCTGTGAAGCATAGAACAATGACCATCATTACTGGAACTTAAAAGTTTTTAAGTATTTTGAAAAATAGAATCTAAAAATCCTGCCAACACCTTACTTCCAAAAGCCCAAACTCAGACAAAGCCAGAACACTTCAGTACCTTGGCACTCACCTGTACAAACACCTTGAACCCACCTGCAAAGGCAGGGGCTCCTGCATGAAGCAGAATGAGAACATCCACAGGTACCAGCAATTACAGAGCAGGCCATTACCTGTGCAAGTTCTCTCAATAGGTTTTGTGATTAAACACAGACTAATAACATCAAGCTGTGTCTTCATAAACCAAAACTGGCTAAGATGTTTGTAATCACCATTTTTTCCCCAAAAATTGTGTATATAAAAGCTGCAGACAAAGGTAATTTGTATGAAGAAGCACAGGCTAAATATAGCACCAGAAAGGTAATTCTGAAATAATGCCAGCCAGTGGTTACAGTTTGTTCTCAGAACAGTCACCAGACACATGCCACAATGATTTGCTAAATCAAGAAGCTATTAGAAATATAAATAGTAACAAGTTTACTAGTTACCATCTACCAAGACTTCCCTCTTTTTCAACAGTCAATGCTCCTATTCAAACAGGATCCTTTTTTACCTCATTAACACAATTACAAAAAAATACATAAAAATTATATTCTATTCCATAACCCAAGCTGTCTACAAGAAAGTGGCTGACACTCCCACCCTAAAGTGGTGTCACTGTCCCACACACCATCCTGGCTGACCACCATGGTCACCACTTCAAACAGAAGCAACACCTAAGTTTAATGATGGAAACTCATGAAATTCAATGTTTCACTGCAAAGAAATGCAAAAATACAGCATGGCTAAGCACCCTGCACAACACAAAGCTTTAGATGTCACTCTGCAGACGTATTTACATAAAAGTCAGTCTCATATGACAGTTTCCACTTGCACTGTGCCCAGTACTAAAGATAGGTCATTCCTGGCTTGTGGTCAATGCTTAAAGTGCAGATGTATTTTAAGATAGCCTGACTTGAGTTAATTTTAATGCAGTGACACTCACCGGATGTTTTGAAGGTGTTTTAACAGCTTTAGCCTCTTCTAATACTCTCTTACATTCAGAAGCATTAGCCAGCTTAGTTCTCCTTTAGACAGAGAACATCAGAGATGCTTACAGCACTTCTATATATATATATATATATAAAACCTACTCTTTAATGAGAATGTTTCTACCACTGGATTTTCTTAGCACACTTGAAGCACTGCACAAAGAATGCAGCATTCATTTTTCATCAAAGGTATGCAGTGTTTGTGCTGAGAATGGCAGAGTTCTCAGCAATGGAGGTGTTGCATCCTCAGTTTCTGAAATATTAAATCACTCAGATACACACATGACCAAGCACAGAGAAGTCAGACAGCTACTCTGATGGGAAAAGACTGTTCCAGGTCAATCTGCAGAACAGCAACCTCTGTTTAAATCCTGCAGTGGAGGAATGCTAGTGCAGGGATTCCAACATTTCCATGTTTTAAAAGCAGTTTCATGCAACACTGTGTTATGAACTGTTTAGTTCATTTACAGTCTTCTGTCCCACAGTATTGGAAGTGGCACATATCCAAGTGCTTAAACACTCAGCTCTATAAAAGAGCTTCAGCAAAGCTGAAGGTAGAAAAAATAACATCCTGAAAGCAAGCCACCAACAAGCAGTCTACTATCTCCCAAATAAATTCCTATTAAAAAGTGAAAAAAAAAGGAATTTTAATATACCATAACACAATACAAACACAAGTTGGTAAGACAAGAGTACATTTAACACTACAATTTCACAATATCAAATTGTGGTCACTAATGATCACTAATACTACTCCTGCAGGATCTGTGCCCCTGACCTTGTACTGGATCTCACACAGCAACTCCACCTGGTTCCACTCCCTCTTTCTATTGATTCTTGAAGGTGCTGCTCACTCCCCCCACCCAACTCCCTCTCCAACAAATGGACTTCCCATCAACAGCTCTCCTACACTTCCTCAGGGAGAGGAGCAGCAGAGCTCTTCAGCACCCTTCAGCAGAAGGCAGAAAACTCCCTGATCCAACCATCTGACAGAGGAGAACTAGGAAAGACACACACACATCACAGCCTGAACTTCAAACCCTGGGACCTATTGCCTCAAAGGATAATAGTGCAACAATGCAGTGTTTTGACATCAACATTTTGAAATATCCAGGCTTCACTGACTATCATCAGGAAAAACAATGATAAAATTCATAATCAGATTTTCTTGAGCACCTATTAATTCTTTTGTATCTCTGCCTTTTTTCAGTTCTCAACAATTCCTACCATTAAGACAGCCCTGAACTTCTCTACACCTCCAACACTTAATTAATCTTTTTCACATAGAATACCACCACAAGTCAAAACTTCTGTGGTGCAGGATACTTAAGTAAAAACTGTCACCAACAACCTACCAGATTACAGTTGTAAAACCCTGCCTCTGAATCAGTTAAATTATTTTTTCAGCACTACACTCTCAGATTTCAAAATAAAGTGCAAACACATACAGAATAAGACTGCAAAGAACACGTTACTTCAAGCTGACAAATGCTAATTTTACAGCCAATTACCAATGAAGTCAAAGACAAAAACCAGCTGTGAGACAGTTATATGAGAAGAGTGTAAGAAGAACCAAGTGCAATGCTGTCAAACATTACTGCTGAGGTGGAAGGTCATGTATTTTACTCAGAACAATCTCGAAGTCCAAACAATAAGCAGTAAGTATCAAATACATTTCAGCTGAGTCATAGGGATTGGAATTCATCTGACTTGATACTGGCTTACTGGGTCATTTCTCTGTAAAGTGAAAACTTGCACAATCCCAAAACTTAACAAGAATAAAACCAATATTAGTTTAAACACACAAGAAAACAACCAATTTTCACTTTACTTTACTACACACAAGAAAACAACCAATTTTCACTTTACTGTTTTCACTTTTTATGCAGTGCAGAGTAGCACTGCATCAAAACTCAACTAGTACTTAAGAATTAAACCATTCCTGGCCTGCTGCACATCATGTAAAGGCCCAGCTGAACAGCACCAAGCTGCTTTGGTGGCTCTGTTACAAAGCACATCTCTGCCAGGTGCAGGTCTTAAAACACAAAGATCAGCCTCACTGTTTTCAGACAGTACAAGATCCAAGTGTATGAACTGCCATAGATAAGAATTTTGAAAGAGATGACAAATAAAGTCACTACCATAGGATTTTCATATGCTCAGTTTATATAATGAGATGCACAGGTTGTATGCATGCAGATGTAGCTCTTATCTCCCCTGCTCCCTCCAAATCTTTTTATCCTATATGCCACAAATTAGGGCTCAGAGTCGAGTGCCATAAAAGCCATAACCCACCTATTTTAGTTCCTCAACTCACTCTGGACTGAGGATATGCAAGCTTCCCTCATGAGCAGTGTGCATCATCAACCTTGTCTACAGAAATAATTTCCAGTGGTCCATTCCTACAAAATCCTCTGAATTAATCTGTACCCAAATTCCTCTGTGTTTCCAGAATATGCCATATATTTCTTCATTACTCTGACCCCTTGTTAGGTCCCTACATTCTAGCATGAGCTCTGACAAGTCAGCCCAATTATCTACCACGAGAAACTCTGGGGCACATAGCAGTAAATAAGACCCAAACCCAAGAGTAAACATCACTGTATCTGTGTAGAATTGTAAATCAATGCTGGAAGCAGCACTAGGAACCAGTCATCAAAAGATTACCACTACTAACTCAGTAAAGAAAATACAACCATTATTTTGGTTAGACACCACAGCCCCACAGTCAGCTTACAGATGGTAAAATGTCATTCTTGGCAGACCAGAGCTCACACCTGAGCCCACCATGCTGTCCAGCAAAGTGTGTCATGAGAAGCACCCACTGGAACCAAGCAATAGTTGTTTGTAGTTACCATAAAGATATTTTGATGAGATTGAAGACTTCAACCACACCCATAATTTCCTGTCACCAAGGTGCACAGGATGTGACTAAAGGCACAATGATCAGCTAATTGAGATGGATACTGGCTTCAGCTGTTCCATCATGACCTGGAAAAGGTTCCAGTTCCAAGCAAAGTCATCCATCAGAGTCAGCAATTCTTCTGCAGAGTCAATGCTTTTCAATTTAAACATTTCCCCACTCCTCACAAGGGGAGGAAAGAGCAGGTTCAGACAAAAGATGGGCTTATTTTTTAAAAGCAAAAGGTGTTTTAATTCACTGACATTTTAAACAAAACTAGATAAATGAAGCCTGCAATAACACCCTTCTGTGAAGGAGGCATGGCAGTCAGATTACACATGACACAAATGGGAAACTGATTTATGCAATCCACTAAGGAGTTCAGTGTGAATGTGTAAGTAGGAACAAAATTAAAATACAAAGCTCCCCACTGACATTTAATTATTTAGTATTCCAAAGTAAAACCAGGATTTCCATCCACATAGAAATACTGAGCAGCAAAATACTCTCTTGCCAGGACAGAAGTTGATGCATCTGCTTTCTCTCTGGATTTCTGACTAGAACCTACACCTCAATTTCCACACTCTTCTGTTCAGTGAGAAGACAGACCAGTTTAAATAGAAGATATCAGCCAACCAAAAGAGCAACCCCAATGCCAGGACTGCTGTAAGATTAAAATAAGACAACCACTTTCCTTTATTGCCTGTAAA